GTGCATTTTCTCGCAGATAGGTAACTGCATTGCCATGGTAACTTAAGGATTTCAAATACACCATGTCTGTTGACACAAATTGGACACTGCTACTGGAAAGAGGGATACGAAGATGGATCTTGCTTTCCTGCTACTTTGGGTTTTTTACATACAGTGAAAGGGAACATCTCTTCATATGCAAGGCCTGTTGTTAAATTCTCCCTATTTATGTTCATCCTTTTGTAAACACTTCTTTTTTCCTAAGAAAATGCAACAAAAAAATGAAATATTGTGTGAAAATACTACACAGCAGCATGGAAAGAAGTTCTGGTTATGTCAAAATGCATGAGTATCGGGTGCTACAAATTTTGCATGGACTTAGTGGTACATATTTTAAAAGTAAAACTACCTGACACTATTTTCTCTATTCAGGCAGTTCAGTCTTGTTTGTGGTTTTTCTCAGGTGCTTTATTATTTAGTGGACAACTGTGATAGGCTATGTGCCAACCATAGTCCCTATAGGTAGGTTCTGGGTGCTGTAGCAGTCATCTTTCTCTCAAGAAATCACTTCCAGCCTTCATGTTTGTAAAGAGTAATTTGCAAGGATATGCCAAAAATAGTTAATTCAGTGATACGTTAAGGAGTAGTGACTTAGTAGTAGTAGTGACTTAATCTTACTTGGGTTATTACTTCCAACAGTCCTGGCAGAGCAAAGTCTCCACAGCGGAGTGAACCTAGAAGGCTCACAGAGATCTTGGTGCACCCCACACTTTTCCATTCTTCCCAACATACAGTTTTGTTTGTGGAGCAGGTTTTGTAGAGCACTGCAGGACTGAGAATGGGTCTTTGCAGTTGTGTTTCCAGTGAAATTTCTTTTCTTTCCCCCTTTCTTCCTTTCACTTTGTTTTTTTTCTCCAGTGTAAATAAAATAAAAGCCTTTAGTTTTCTGCGGTGGGTTTTTTCTTGTTGTAGGTTTTTTCTTGTATTTTTTGTAAATTCTCTAGACTGCATTAAAAGTTGGTCCTTTGTCTCTAACAGCATATTCTTCCTTCATGTAACCTGAGCTGAACTGCAGTAGATAGACTATGAAAGTAATTTTGTAAGTATATATAATTAGCTAATGTAGAGGGCCCTGTAGGTGGGAACCGATACCAAGTATTACAGTCCCGAATTTGAGATGAGGGTTTAAAGTGAGATTGAGGAAGGAGGATCATTTTAAAATCTCAGATCTCCTAAGGTGGCTTTCTAAATGGCAATGAACTAAGCTGCACTTTACTAAATGTCATCCCTCCTTTCTTCAGTGCTTCCAGAAAACTTAAAAATATATCTTTAACTGTATTAATCAACTTTCGAAAGGAAAAGTTGTAGAAAGTGTGTCCTTGCATGGAATGCATTTTAAGTTCAGCCTTGGCTAGCAAAGGTAATGACTAAGATGTGTAAAGCTTACTATTTAAAAATCAGTACTGTTACTGTCAAGTTGTGGTGAAGTTGCTGTCGTAAATTTCAATTTCTAAAGCTTATTCAAAACAGTTTGCATGTGTTTTGTTTTGTTTTCTTATAGTGTATAGCAAAGTGAGTTTGACCCTTGCTTTACTTAGTTTTGTTATCATATAACCTCATGGCCTCTCCCTGAAATTACAGCTATGCAGTTTTGCAGTCATCAGTAGGGGCTGTAAAACTAGATGGAGAAGGTTTTGGTTTCATTCTTTGAAACTTGTGGATGGTGTAGGAATGTGAGGTGGGAAGGGAGCAAACCCTTTGCCTTTTTTGGCGTCTTTTCTTTGGTGTTCTGCTTGCTGGTGCGGTCTGGAGAGGGAGGCTGGGTGAGGACTGTGAGAAGGGGGAGGAGTTCGTGCTCAGGGACAAGGTTTAGTGGTGTCGATAGGGCTAGGACAAAGGTTGTACTAGATGAACTTGAAGGTCTCTTCCAATCTCTATGATTCTAGGAGCTTTACCTGTGCTACTGACGGGTCTGCAGCACACATGGAGGAAGGACACAGTGTCTGAGGTGCAGGTGTTGTGTCCCCAGCTCCTTTCCTGGAGCACTGTGTGAGCTGCGTTGTATCTCCAGGGTTTATGTTTTCTCATAATGAGTGCTGTCAGCTTGAGAGATGGTCTTAATTTTTAGTAGAATAAAAACTCGAGAGAAAATGGTCGATGTGCAATACTTGGGAGAGTTTATAGCTCTTTGTTTTCCTGTGCTGCTGCTATGGATACAACCTAGATCTACAGCACTGGTGACTGCTCTGACAAACTCCTGACCAGCTTCTTAGCTGCAGCCATGGGACTAGTCCCCTTGAGTTTGCTGAAGAGTCCTATTGTGCTTATGGTTAAGGGAATGATACCTGATGGTGGTATTAGGGCTTAACTGACCAGGCAGCAGAGATATGGGGAAAATAATAAATGTGTGTCACAGGCAGCAGAAACAAGGGGTAGCCTCCTTTTTATTTTCTCATCCATGTTGTTCTTACACTTCTAATTGCTACTTGTAATAACTGAAGAATAGAGGAAGCTGGAAATGAGGTAGATGCTTGCAATTCAGTGAATTGCTGCACTTCCTATGGGCATGTGCTGAGCAGTTTCAGTGCCTTTCAGAAGGTGTGTGCAGTCCAGTGGCTGCAACAAATGCCTTTGGAAATAACTCTGCTCATGTTTCCTTGCACTTGAGTCTGCCATGTGAAGGAATATGTTGTTGAGGATATTTCTCAGTTAACTTACTTGAGGGTGTTGGGTCTGCAGTGACATTCTGGAGTTCCAGGTCCCAGGGGAAAGATTTTATAATTTCATTCGTTATTTGAGTTATTTCAGCTGCTTGGCCTAAGCAGTCCCCCAGTGCCGATGGGGTGATGGTACACCATGGAGGTCCTGGAGGGGAATATTTTTTGGGAAGTGGGAAGGGAGTATGACACAAAAAGGAAGGTGAAGACAGAAGGAATTGTTAGGATTTTTTAAGAAAAGTAATTGTAATAGGTATAAATGTCAGGAAGTTGTTGACTAGCTGACAGCCTGATTGTTCCATGAAAATCTATCTGAAACTAGAGATTGACTCCCAAGTCAGTTTGTATTGTAGGTGCTGCAGTTTTCCGCCTTATTAACTGACAGTAACATGTTATAGTCATCTGTCTTTTCAGTTACCTGTCCTATTTGCTTAGCAGAAAATGAAATGTTTCAAGTGATATGTTTAATATACAGCTGGCAGAGGAGGAATGATGCTGTGAGGACTCAGTGCACGGCTAGCCCATTTTTTTTTTTTTTCAAATAGGACAGTAAAGACTTGTGCAGCTCCTTTGTGATAGGCTTTCTGGCTAGAGCTCTGTTTGCATTTTAACATCCTTTTTTGTTCACTGAAGTTCCAAACATACATTTTCACCTCAGTCTTCTACCTCTGCCCTCTACCAGCACTTTTTGGATTTTTGCCTCTACAGTCCTTTACTCAGTGATTGTCCTCCACTGAAAGAGGGTTTGTTCTCCTGGTCTCTCTCTAATCTCAGCTTTCAGCAGGTCCCTTTAGATTAGTCCTTGGGGCAATGATTTGCTCCTTGTAGCATGTCTTAAGCCCTGGGTTGGGTTGCTGCCTGTGGATCTGGCCTGAGGTGCTGCAGTGTGTGGAAGAGACACTCCTCTTCAGACTCTTCATCCGGCTGTCAGAAATGCTGCTGTGCTAGAGGGGTTTTACTTTGCTTCTGATTTAGCTGTTGGGGCAGCTGCATGCTGGCACTCGAAATAGAGGTTCTTGTATTCTTTATAAAAAGACAGGTGGTCCTCATCCCTTGTGTTTGAGCTGCTAACAGAAGATTTTGATCTCATCTGTTTCCTTGAAATGGTCTTCTGCTAGCTCACTGAGAAAACAGATGCTACTGCTTTCCTCCCCTTATTCTCTTGATCTTATAGGAGTTAAAACTCCTACTTCTTTGCAAATGTTAAAAAATTGGTTTTGCATTCTGTCCTGAGTTTCAAGTGGCAGCTTGGTAGAACGATAATAGGAGCTTTGTGTTTTAAGTTTCAGCAACGTGTCCTGTGTTTCATGGTTGTGATCTTACCTGTATTAATGATAGTGCTGTCTTCAGGAAAAAAGATCAGTAAATTGTAACAAATCAGTAACTGATTCATTCAACATTTTTACAGCTTTTTAAAGACATTGTGTAAGACCTAAGTGGCTTAATGGAAAGTCAGGGACTGAACAGGTTAGCCTGTGTCAAGATGTCCTATGAATACTTTCATGAGTATCAAATTTACTCTGAAACAGTAGTCTCAAACTTTCAAATAACTTGTTTTTCACTTTGTAGCTTGTTTCTCATGCTTTCGGGTGTGCAGCCTGTTTATTTGGAAGCAGCTGCTGTGGTGTGGCTTGCCCCAAGCTGTAACTTGTGCTTTACCAAGGCTCTCCTTTTCTTTGATACTGACTGTAATAGGTCTTGGGTTCTGCTGTAAGTGCTTGGTGTTTTTGTTCTGTTGACACAACATCTGTACAACAATGGGACATGACTGGAACTCTAGGTTTAACAAGTATAATAACTGGAATTGGCCAGATCTTTTTGCTCTGTGATTAACTAGTGGAGATAAGGAACATCATGGTCTGGATGCAGATCACAGCAAGCATGTGTTCAAAAGTTAGCAGCCACACACCTTTGCTGTCAGAACAGAAGCAGGGAATGGCTTGAAGAGCCTGACCTTCCATTTAATCTTTGGAAATGTTCAAGCCTCTATTTGAAGCACAATGTGAAGCAAAAGAAGTCTTAATTGCTTCTGTCTTTGGTTGGAGTGATCTCCACATAATCTTGGAGGTTAGTACTGGAAGCGATCAGGCTGGAGTCTGCCATCAACAGTTTGCTCAGTTAGTGTTAAAAATACAAGGCAGATCTGTGATGAGTGCTGTTGAGGTGGAAGTACTTTAAGAATTGTCTGCAGAATTTCTTAAAAGCCTATTAGGGGATGTTCTGAAAAAGTTGTTTTCTTGCTACAGCAGTTTTGTGTTTCAACCAATTTCTCTTTTCGTTTTTTTATTTTTTATTTAACTGCAGATCAACTTGAACGTGTGTTCTTGCGTCTTGGCCATGCAGAAACAGATGAGCAGTTACAGAACATTATTTCCAAATTCCTACCCCCTGTTCTCCTCAAGTTGTCCAGCACACAGGAAGGAGTTCGTAAAAAGGTAAGGGTGCAATTTACTGTCATGCTGTATTGTGCTGATCAGGAAGAAAGAAATGCCTCTAGTGTATTGTGATTTACTCTGCTTGAATGTCCTCTGTGGAGAAATTTACTCTTTGAGGGGAAAGTTACTGTGAGCCTGATAGAGAGTAGGTTGTTTACAAGTATTAGAGCAGTCATTGCTTGTATCAGCAGGGTCTTTTACAGGTGTGTAGGGGCTGCATTTTTTTTCCCACTTGATGTGAGCCAGCTATTAGTTAGCCTCAGACCATGGCTTAGTGCCTTAGAGGCTGTTGCTGAGGCTTCCAGGTTAGGGCTGTTGTGCATCCGCCTGACCTACCACACGTGTAGAGCAAACTTGTTTCTATGTACAAAAGATTGTGAGACATCTCATTGATGTCATTCATTCATTCATTCATCTGGCAAAGGAGTAGCGGCAAGGACCATACAATTTTGAAGATGGAATTTGATACCTACTTGAAGGAATTTAGTTCCTTGGCACAGAAGGCAGCTTTATTACAGAATTCATTTGGTACATATTACATTCCAACTCCAAAACTGTTTGATCTTTATCTGATTACAGACATAGGAACAAGGACAGGTGGCTTTAGAAGTGGAATTTAGTATGTACCTGGGGAATACAATTCCCTGTATTAGGTTATAGGATAAAATCTCATCCACACACCTGCAAAGGAGTGCAGACACACAATAGCAAGTGCAGAAGTCTGTGTAATGCCCTACCTCAGCTACAACCAGGCCCATCATAGGAGCCATCAACTCATCAAATGCCCATCTCCACAAGACGGGGGGAACGTAGAGGGACCATGGCAGGTAGGAACCCAAGTTAAGGACTTGAAGGAAGGGGCACCCTCTTTGAGTCCCTCCCAGGACTGTCTCAGGAGACCCGTAGCCCCGCTCTCTGGGCATGGAACCCATCAACATGAGTCAATGCCAGAATACCTTTTGGACTGAGAATGTGCTGCCTGGGGTCGAGGACACAGTGGGATGCAGAGGAGGAACATTTTTGGGATTGCTTAAGCTAATGGGTTGTTTAGTGGGGGTCAAAAGCAGAGAAAGGGATGGACCTAGGTGATTGGAAGAGGAACAAGTGTGGGTCTCTAGGAATGTAGCCCACTGGTAACTGCATGTCTCTCCTGGTTGTGCCTAGGGGTGTGGAGCCGCAGCAGCCTTCCCCTCTGCTGGGCTACTGGTCCCTGGCACCATGTACTAGTCAGTCCCTATTCCTGTGGCTGCCAGGGTGGAATTTAGTATGAACATGGAAGAATTCAGTAATGTAGCAGCCTTCTCTAGCAGGGAGTTGAACTCTGATTACTAGCGGGGCTTTTTCCCAAGGTCTATGTTCTTGCCATGTCTTGTGCAATGGCAGTTGTGGGATTGCATGAGGGAGATCTCTAAACTGGTGTTAACAGCCAAAGAGATCTGACTTGGTCTGGATTCTGGTGGAGGAACACTTGTGTTTCCTGTTCTGTCAGGAGGATGTGACCAGAAGAGGCAAGTGGGGCAGCAGCAGCTGAGTGTAAGAGACTTGAGCAGGTGGATCAGAAAGAGGAGTGATCTGGTTTTGTGATAAATTCAAAATGTAACAAGAATACTCTGTATGTGTTGATTTTTATTATTTTAATTTTTTTTTTTATTTTTCGCATAGCAAAATAATTAATCAATGAGACAGGGGAAGGGGAAGACTGTCAGGGGTTTTTTTTAATGAATATCAGTGAAGATTTACTGTGGAGTGTATAAACTGCAGCTAGATCTGTTCAACGTACATATTGCTTTTTTCTATTACTTACACCATGTCTTGGGTTACAATCTGTAACCAAAAATGTGTAATTCTATTTTCATCTGTTGAAACCGGTTGGAAGATATTTTCATTTCTTGTTAACTCCAGGGGCAGGTGCTTTTGTTAGTGGGTAATCATGGGTTAATGAAGGGCGGTGCCGCGGCGCCCTGGAACTCCTGCCTTGTGGGGGGCTAGCCGCGCTGCTGCCGGGGGACAGACCTCCACGCGGACCTCGTGGACCCGGGGTGGGACCCCCCGCCATTTCGCCATAGAGGAGAACTTTTTTTTCTGGGGACTCCTCTGCTGGATCATCTCTACTCCAACAGAGAAGCATCTGCCACTCCAGGAAGACTTTAATTTGGATTTATTTGGACTTTTTTTTTTTTTCCCAAGTCAGGTATTCTGACTTTGTCAGAGTTTCTGGGATTATTTGTTTGTTGTTGTTCTTTCTCTGTATCATTACCTTTAGAGTTTGCAATATTCTTAGTAAAGAACTGGTATTCCTATCCCCATATCTTTGTCTGAAAGCCCCATAATTTCAAAAGTATAGCAATTCGGAGATGGGGCTGGGGGGTTTACATTCCCCGTTCCAAGGGAGGCTTTCCCCTGTCTTCTAAACCAAGACACACCAGAACTCAGCTTTTCAATTTTCTACTTGCTCTTATTTCACCAATAAAGTGATGAGAAAATGTCTTAAGAAGTCTGATGCATTTTCAAATGCTCATGGCTTTTAAACACAGATGTCTAGCTTTCCAGTGCTAATTCTTCCTGGTGGACAATAAAGAATATGCCTGTTTAACTCCACCCTCAGAATCATGCCAAAGCAATGTAAGTTTAAAAAAAAAAAAGTGCTTTTTTTTTTTTTCACATGAGCACTGGGGTGATGGAGGTCTAATCTAATAAAGGCTAATGAAGTAGATGAAATAGAATGGAAAGAAAAGAACAAACTCTTTATTGACCCATTGACTGACTATAGGCAGTGATAAAACTGCTGTCCCATGTCACAGCTCTCTCCCACAATCATTGTAGTGATTAAAAAAACCCACAAACCACCACCACCAAAAAAGTGTGTTAGTGTAGTTAATAGTGCTTTGAAAACTTACACCACTTAGTTCAATTGACAGTGTAGCTTTTAATAGTATAGATATATGACCAAAGAAGAACATCTGTTACCAGCGTGCTGCTAAAGCATAGATCAGCACAGTTGTTCAAGAACTTCCTTTCACCCAAGTTCAGGGGCACAGTGTAGTTCGTTTAATGTACTAGATGGCCTTCTTCAGGCCACAGTTTGACAGATGCATTAAATTCGGTTCTAGGACCTCCACCAAACTAGTTACCCTAGCAGTGTCACACAAAGACCTTATCCAGGGTACTTTCACTCTGCTGGTTCAGATAAGCTCCAAGAGGTGTTGATACCCTGGCAGCATTTGTGCCAGACTGGATACTGAGTTACTTGATGCAGTCCACTTGAAGCTAGAAAAACATAAGAAATCCTGCTTGAAAGTGTGGACATTTGCCTGATTCATGTCCAATGAGTACTGCTGGATGAGATCCTTAGTGCACTGATTCAATGTTAATTGGTTAGAGAAGCAGGACATGGGCTAAACCATCGCATATACCCAAATGCACATCTTTTTTCACCAGCCACTGTGGGTAATTTGAACCGGTTCCTCAAACTCTGTTGTAGTCCTATGTTTCTCTTCTGTCACAAGAATGTCTGTGCAGACATTTTTTTTCACTCTAGAATAATAGGAGTTTGTGACTGCTGTCATCTTAATTTTGCAGCAGGAAAATTTGATTACTGTCAGCCTTACTTACTGGTCTCAGTCACATGCTTGTGGTCAGCTATGCAGTTCTCTGTATTATATCTGGACATGATTCTGTTTGACACCTAGGCATGGAGTGGATGCAAAGATGATATCTTAGCTCATATGCAGCTCAGCAAGCATCTAGTTGTAAAGTTGCCATGATGGACTTTAGTAACGACCATTTAGTTGCTTTTTCACTGTTCTGTGACCAAGGTAACATGACATCTAAAGGGCAGGACAGTGTGCCCCCCCCCCCCCCCCCG